GCCCAGGAACAGATCCAGAGCCCAGGTCCAGATCCAGAGCCTGGGTCCAGATCCAGAGCCCAGGAACAGATCCAGAGCCCAGGTCCAGATCCAGAGCCTGGGTCCAGATCCAGAGCCCAGGAACAGATCCAGAGCCCAGGTCCAGATCCAGAGCCTGGGTCCAGATCCAGAGCCCAGGAACAGATCCAGAGCCCAGGAACAGATCCAGAGCCCAGGAACAGATCCAGAGCCCGGGAACAGATCCAGAGCCCGGGTACAGATCCAGAGCCCGGGTACAGATCCAGAGCCCAGGAACAGATCCAGAGCCCAGGAACAGATCCAGAGCCCAGGAACAGATCCAGAGCCCGGGAACAGATCCAGAGCCCGGGTACAGATTCAGACCCCGGGAACAGATCCAGAGCCCGGATCCAGAGCCCAGGTCCAGATCCAGAGCCCGGGTACAGATCCAGAGCCCGGGAACAGATCCAGAGCCCGGATCCAGAGCCCAGGTCCAGATCCAGAGCCCAGGTCCAGATCCAGAGCCCGGGTACAGATCCAGAGCCCGGGAACAGATCCAGAGCCCGGGTCCATATCCAGAGCCCAGGTCCAGATCCAGAGCCCAGGTACAGATTCAGACCCCGGGAACAGATCCAGAGCCCGGATCCAGAGCCCAGGTCCAGATCCAGAGCCCGGGTACAGATCCAGAGCCCGGGAACAGATCCAGAGCCCGGGTCCATATCCAGAGCCCGGGTCCAGATCCAGAGCCCAGGTACAGAGTCAGACCCCGGGAACAGATCCAGAGCTCGGATCCAGAGCCCAGGTCCAGATCCAGAGCCCGGGTACAGATCCAGAGCCCGGGAACAGATCCAGAGCCCGGGTCCTTTGAAGGACCCTGCCCCTAAATGTGGACTCAGCTGTTCCAGATGAGGTCATCAGGTGCTCCAGTCTCTGCCAGGATCTAGATCAGCTGTTCCTGCTCACTGAGTCACTTCCTGTTTCTCACAGAACCCCATCAGACCCAGAACCAGACCTGATCAGAACCGGGCCTGATCAGAACYGGGCCCAGCAGCTGTCTGACTCTGACTCTGTGTTTCAGAGATGTACGGCAGCGATGACGGCGAGGTTCCCGCCTCCTTTCAGATCTTCTACATGATTGGCTGGAAGCCTCACGAGTCACAGGTGAGAGCGGGTTCTGTTGGTGACCAGAACCAGAACCAGGAGGAAGGTAAAGGTTCTCTGTCCATCATCTCAGACTGACGTCAGGTTTTCTGTTTTCAGCCCAAACCGTTGAAGCGTGGCTCTGCGACCGTGTCGTTAGGAGATCTGTCTCAGATCAAGAACCAGGACCAGTCCTGAACCTGCAGACCCTCACAGGAAGTTCAGCTGTAGCACTTCCTGTGACAGGCCCCGCCCCCTCAGAGGAGCCGAGTTCCTGAACCTTGTGTGGTTTTTAGACCTTTGCTTCAGTTCTGCAGCTCAATAATTAAATGAAAAAACTTTTTATGCAAATGTAAAAAATAAAAACTCTTTCCACATAAGGCTGGTTTCACTTCCTGTTTGCTGGATCCTCACTTCCTGTTTGCTGGATCATCACTTCCTGTTTGCTGGATCATCACTTCCTGTTTCTTGGTAAGCCTCAGTTTGGATCGAGCCGGCTGCAGGCATGCTGTGTTTTCTCTGCTTTCTTCTGTCTGGAAGCTTCTGCCTCGGCTCAGGTAGGATCTGTTCTGCAGGGTCAGRGGTCAGAGGTCAGGGGTCAGGTTACACCAACACCTTTAATGTTTATTAGATATTTTTCTGTGAAAACTGTTTTACAGTCTTTAAGTTCAGGTGAAGCTACATCAGGAATTTGTAATCATGTCTTTTATCTGTTCTTAGTTTTTATGTTTTTACACTTTATTTTATCATGTCTGAAGCCCTTTGATCAACACGTGTTTTTAAATGAGCCAGATGTACATAAAGTGATTTTAATCTACTTATAAATAAAAAGAAACAGAATCTCAGAAAGAACAAGAAGTCAGAGCTGTGAGAAGGTTGAGGGTTTGAAAACTTCATATTTTTATTCATTTAGATGTTTTTATCATAAATTAATGATTTTATTATTCGAGATAATTTATGGAGAAGTTCTTTGTTACCAGACAGAACCATCTGACAGAACCAACAGAAAGAACTGTCTGACAGAACTTTCTGACAGAACCCCCTGACTTCCTGTTGTCTCTCCAGATGTTCGTGATCAAACCAGTCTGCTGGACTCTCAGGTGACCCTGTCCTGCTCCCACGCAGCTGCAGATGTTACCTGGAGCAGGTACAAGGATGGGAAAAAGGTGATTCTGGTCAGCAACAAGCAGGACCGGGAGTTCCGGCCTGACAGACGGTTTGGGTCTCAGGCAGACGGTGCGCTGGTGATCCAAAGAGTCCAACATTCTGATGAGAGCTTGTATTTCTGCAACAACAAGAAGGAAATTTACCTGAGAGTGACCTCAGATCCCACCCAGGTGTTTGAGACAAAACCACAACCTGATGGGCCGAGTGTCGGCCTCGGAGCAGACCAGGAGGACCCAGAACCCTCAGAACCCTCAGACTCTTGGAGGATCCCTGTTGGTGTGACGGCAGGAGCTGCTCTGATGTTTCTGTTTATCTTCCTCCTGAGGGTCTGCTCAGCCAGGAGAGGCCAGCAGAGGAACAGGAAGAGGACCAGTTCTGAGACCGTGTACCACGAGATCCAGTTCACCAGTGTCAGACCCGAGTCTGAGAGTCCGTACTACTCCAGCATCCCCACACCTGTAGACCCCTACCTGTACAGCACTGTGAAGAAGCCTGCAGCACCTGAGACCACCGTCTACTTCCTGGTCCAAAACCCAGAGAGAGAAGAACCACAGAGTCCAGGTTCTATCTGACCCGTTTTCTCTACTGGGTTCTTCTTCAGAACAGGAGTCGTGTTTGCAGATGAGCTGAAGGAGATCCGTTAAAGTTTCTTTTTTAAAAATATAAAAGAAACAAGAATTTCATCCAGTTTGACTTTATTTCAGAACTTTGACTGATGTGTTGATGAATGAGTCTGAAACCTGAGTCTGCACTCTATGTAAACAAAGAGTGGTCTGCACTCTATGTAAACAAAGAGTGGTCTGCACTCTATGTAAAGAACTCAGCTGAATGAATGACTGGCTATTGTCTGTAAACACATTATGGTTGTTTCTGTAGGTAAACAAACACACTTTGGCTGTTGTTGGCCAACTTCTGTAAAACTTTGTAAAACTTCTGTGTTTCCATTAAATACATAAATGATGGAAAATGGATTCAGTTTTAAAATCAAAATGATCACATTTTGAAAATAATAAATGAAAGATTGTTTCAGATGTGGAATAAAAGACCATATAAATATCGGCACACCATGGAGTTACAATAAACAGACTGGGATGAAGATCTGTGTACACTTTGGACTGTTTTTCATTGTTAAAATATAAAAAGAAAATATAACCATCCATTTTTAATTTTCCAATATCTGTTTTTAAAATGCAAAACGAATGACTAAAAAGCACGAGGACCATTACACACAAAGTGTTGAAGTGTTCCTCATTTTTCTCCTTCCTGGAAATATTAATACAATAGATTTCCAAAATGGAAACTTTTTTTAAAGTCGTGTTCAGAGCTTTGAATTAAATCACAGATTTTTATCTTCTTTTTCAGAGGGGCAACACTGTGAAGAATGACTTCATCAACAGGACAATAAGTTTCTGTCAGGTTTCGATTGTTCTCTGTTGTCATGATTCATGGCACTAAAGACACTTGGTTTACTTTGAGGATGTGAAGAGGCTTGACCTAATCCAAAGGAAGTAGACTCTTTGATACAATTATAATTCTGCTGAAGGCATCAAATTTCTGTTAGATAAAAGAAATCAATATGAAGATTACTAATGGTTAACTAACAAAGACCTTTAACTGAAACATGTGATGTTCGATACACCAGTTGTTTGTTCTGTAAATGTATTTTTGTTTTCTAGTGAAGTTGTCATGATTTGTTGTATTTAATGTCAGCTGTTGGACAGCAGAGAGACGGAGCATCCATCATTTCCTGAGATCTTCTGATACAAGTCTGAGCTCTGATAGGCTGAAGAAAATCAATAAATTAAATTTGTTTTTATTCTTGTGTGGCACAAAGGTTTAGGTTTTATTTTACATGACTTTAACTCTTTAAGTCAAACAAAATAAATTAATATTAGGTTTTTGAAGAACTAGCTGTTTTAAATGGTTATGGAACAAGATACAAATTAATGTTTCTATATTTAAATGAATGTTTTTATATTTAAATGAATGTTTTGATTCTAATGACAATGTTTTATCCAGGAGTGTTGATTTTTTTTCAGTGATTGTGTTTCTGCATTTTGTTTTTAAATGTAATTGTATTTGTTTAATATTCGACATGATAATAGAGTGCTGAGTTTTAGAGCAGCATTTTTAATTTTCCCTGCTAATATTTTTCTAGTCGTGTCAGTAGTTTAGTCACTGTGGGTGTTCCATATTAATTTTATATGTTATTATTTTTCCAGTCTGTCAGTAGTTGAGTCACTGTGGGTGTTCCATATTAATTTTATATGTTATTATTTTTCCAGTCGTGTCAGTAGTTTAGTTACTGTGGGTGTTCCATATTAATTTTATAGGTTATTATTTTCTAGTCGTGTCAGTAGTTTAGTCACTGTGGGTGTTCCATATTAATTTTACATGTTATTATTTTTGTAGTCGTGTCAGTAGTTTAGTCACTGTGGGTGTTCCATATTAATTTTATAGGTTATTATTTTTCCTGTCGTGTCAGTAGTTTAGTCACTGTGGGTGTTCCATATTAATTTTATTTGTTATTATTTTTCCAGTCGTGTCAGTAGTTTAGTTACTGTGGGTGTTCCATATTAATTTATATGTTATTATTTTTCTAGTCTGTCAGTAGTTTAGTCACTGTGGGTGTTCCATATTAATTTATATGTTATTATTTTTCTAGTCTGTCAGTAGTTTAGTTACTGTGGGTGTTCCATATTAATTTTATATGTTATTATTTTTCCAGTCCTGTCAGTAGTTTAGTTACTGTGGGTGTTCCATATTAATTTATATGTTATTATTTTTCTAGTCTGTCAGTAGTTTAGTTACTGTGGGTGTTCCATATTAATTTATATGTTATTATTTTTCCAGTCCTGTCAGTAGTTTAGTCACTGTGGGTGTTCCATACATCCTCTTGTTTCCATCAGCTGATTGAAGCTAACAGGATCCCGTAGTGACCTGAACACCGGGACATGATTCGGTCCCGGTCCAGGTGGGTGTGTGGTGTCACCTGGTTCTGAGAGCATTAAGTAAAGCCCTGCCTCCTCCTCTCTATCAGTTCGGTTCGACTGTGTTTTTGGTTCCGCTGGTTATCTTCCTGACTTTTGCCCTTTTCCCGCTGCGCCAGATGCTAACCGGTTAGCCTGTCAGCTAACAGGCTGCTATAAAGCAGCGGAGCTCAGCCGGAGGCTAACGGGCTAACAAGCTAACTGACCGGAGAGAACCGAACCGAGCCGCTGCGGGATGCGACATGGCGTCGGTTCGGGTGGCTGTGCGGGTCAGACCCATGAACAGACGGTGAGTTCGGGACAGAAATGTGGGTCTGTGTGGGTTTTCTGGTTCCGACAGGTGTTTTCTCCAGGTAACTCACCTGTCTGGGTCTAACACCTGAAAGAGTTTCTGTAAAACAGTTCCAGGTGTTTTCCTCCTGTTTACACTGGAACCGGATTCAACCCGGTTTAGAGTCCAGATTCTGTCCCGCAT